TGATAAAATATCCACAAACACACTTTTTAAAAGATGATTATATCTATCCGTATATTTTCTTCCCATGCCTCACTTTGGAAACCCAGCCAAGGGTCTCTGTAGCTGAACATCAATACCCACGAGGTTCCAGTAGGTGGCACTCTGCGCCATATTCGTAGAACCACAGCATCTAATTAGGTCAGACACTAGGGAAAGTGCAGTAAAGATACCATTTAAATTGTGAATATCTGCAGCAGCTCTATTTGTCAGGACGTACGGGACTGCGAATCAGTTAGCCACCTGCCCCTGTCTCTACCTAAAGACGCCCAGTGTACTTGTCCAAATTGTCTTCACCTTTTAGCCCTGAGCAGAACTGCCAATCCTATATGGTTAAAGTCGATCCCTTCAAAACAAGTGCCTAGCAGGAAGCAATTTGAGTTTAAGTGCAGCTCCGCTCCCTAGCAGTGGGTTAAGAGCACCGAGGGTTATACACAGAATGAGGAAGAGCAATCGAGCCTACCTGGGGGTCTCGGGCTTTCCTTCCTAAAGTGACCCCTGTATTAACAGTCCTCGGTATCCCAAAGGAAGATATGGCACTTCCCAAACTGGGCTCCGCAGACCAGCTGCTTCAAGAGCACCTGGGCTAGTTTCAGAAATGCAGATTCCTGGGTCCCAGAGATCAGGGTGTCTGGTGTGGGGGCCTGGAATCTACGTGGTTTCCAAGCTCCGTAGGTGATTCCAGTCCCCAGTAAAATTGAAGAACCAATTGGACTGGTCGGACAGAGCTAAATTAGTTTCGGGTGGGGCCACTTACTTCCTCTGTGACCTTGGGCAGTTGACTTAACCTCTCTGATCCCACCTTTATCTCTGAGTTAACCCATCATCTTTAAGATGGAGCTCCTAATACCAGCCTCATAGAGGTGATGTGAAGATTTAATTTAATAAATGAAGCATTTAATTCGCATTTGCTGCAAAATAAATGTGACTTCCTTCCCTCCTCCTCCTCCTCCACACCCCAGTCAATAGCATTGCCCAGGTACCAGTGACTTCGTCTTAACCCTTCTTCCTAAGATCCTCCTCACTCTCTCCTTGCCCTGTCATTCCCTTTGGGGGCTTGCCCTCATGAGTAGGAGCCAACCTTGCGATTATTTTAAAATTCATTCTCCCCATTCAGAACATGCTTCCTGTGTTCTATTTACTTAGGTGGCCTGTTCTGGAGAGTCGATCATCTCACAAATTAATCCATCATGTTGTGTTAATGGACAAGAGTAATGTGTTAAGACAATCCCCGGCAGGTTATAAATTAACTAGGTATTTCAGTTACGATGCTTCAATGGAAGGGCAACTTAATGGTGGGAAATGCAGACCTAGGAGAGAGAGATGGGCAATATAAACCATTGTAGTTAATGCATATCATCTGGTAACCAAGTCCTGCTTGGTTGGCCTCCATATAGACCTGGCCTGGGGGTGTTCCCCACTGTCCCAGGGTTGACTGCAGGACAGCAGACTAGTTCTAACTCCCAAAACAACCCAGGTACTCTTCTTAGCAGTGTGCTCCCTCTGGACAATGAGCCTCAGATATGGGTTCACGGATATGTTACTACAATCTTGCTCAAGATGTCAACTCATGCAATTCACTATTATGAAAGTCCCTGAAATCTATGACCCACTGCAACGCCTCAGCCAGTGAGAAGTGAAGAGGTCATGGGTATCATACAAGACAAACGTGGCGTCCTAGTTGGCTATGTCTATATGGCCTTAGCCTCAGGGGTTGCCACCGGCCAGAAGAACACTGAGAGCCATTTTCTGCGTGCGGAAGAAACTCTCCTCCTCATCCTGCCCACGGTGGGCTCTAGGGATGTCTGAAAACTGCCATGAAGCCACTAGGACTTCCTCTCTCCCTCCAGATTCTACCAGACTATTTGTGGAGGGTGCTCCTTGTGAGACACTGGGACTCAAACCTCCTCAGTCAGTTTAAATCTGGGCTCTTCCAAAATATTTAATTAATAAAAATCACCGAGAGAGAGAAGGTATATATATATATATATATATATGGAGAAACACTACCACTGAAACGTCATTACAAATGTGTTAGAAATTAATTACAACCGAGATTAGGGTACTCTTAAAGGCAGAATGCCGGGTCTTATCCAATTTCTTAACTCACATGCTTAAAAGTTGAGATAAGTAGAAAGAATATGAATTTCAATGTGGCAGAGAGTCCGGCCAATGTCACCCAGGGAAGGTTTCACCGAGCTGATTATAGAAGGTCGTGCTCACCAAGGCAGGTGGGGATTTACTATGTGTGTGTGGGAAAGAGGTTAGTTTTAAACCAAAAGTACACACAAAACCACCCCTTCCAAACAGAAAAATCCACCTGCAACAACAGCTGCTTTCTCCTGCTTCTTGTGCATCACATGAGGCTTGCTGTGGGTCTGTAAAGACAAGATGGAAACAGAGAGAGGGGAGGCAAAAGAAAAAAGATGGAAAAGATATAAAACAGTGTGAAGCTGTCCTATTGTAATTCCATTGTCACCAGCATGGATGGCCCTTGTGTCACCAGGCCTTTTTCCACAGTCTCATCATGAGTTTGAGACTTTTTCTCTCTTTTTAACCCTTTCCCTTCACTATGGTTGGTCGGTTGGGCTCATGTTCTCCTTCATTACAGTAACTTGGTGAAATGGATTATCTTCTGTCCTGGTGTTGTCCAAAGCACATCTCTCTAGTCCCTCTCAATCACATTCTTTGGTCATTTCCCTCCCACACTGTTATTTGTACTTCAGAAGACACAAATAGCTCCCAGTGATCCTTAGGGTCAAGGGCTCAATCTTCCAGAAACTGCGACTTGCGGCATGTCCCATCACTAACTGCTCGTAGGGCCTGGCACACCCCAAAGCTCCAAGGAGAGATGCGCTCCCACTGCCCATCTAATAAATCTGCCCCATAATCAGTGTTCTCTGCTCACTTTAATACATGCGGGAGAGGTGGAGCAAAAATAAAAACTTATTCCCACCCCCGTTTTAAAACTGGGCCATAAATACCTTGCAAAATATGCAACGTGGTTCTCCCTGGTTAGGATGAAGGAGGAAGTAAATAAAAACCATATTTTACGGGGGTGGGGCAGACAGCCTTATAAAAAAGAAGAGTGTGTTCCTTGCTATCCCCATTACAGTTTCTTCGGAGATTGGGAAACAAGATGCCCAGGTTCTCAAGTCACTATCCTCCCTCAAGTACTCTATATTCCTGACTACATTTATGAGATCATCTGGACTTAAGACTGTTCAGACAGATAGACCTGGAAGTAGACGTGAGGATGGAACCAAGAGCACTTGACTCAGAAAGGGGGCTATGATCAGTCTCCTCTACAGACGGCAGACACTTGCTTTGACTTTTTCTCAGCCATAACATTTGCCCTACCTAATGCCTCCCTTGGCTTGGATCCTACAAATGCCCAACCAAGTCTTGCCAAGGTACAGTATCTATCTGAGAAGGAAGGACACACCCTCACCAGGTTCAGGGCTGAAAGGGGCTGGGGACCAGGCCTTGATGGCAGAGTGGGACTTATGGAGAATTGGGAGTTTCTTCCAGAGCAGAACCAACCAGAAGCGGGTTGGCAGAGAAGCAGGGCATTCAGAGTTTAGCAGGGGACCTGGTGGTCACGATTGCCTGGTAGCCTGTGTTGGTGGCTTTTGATCTGAGCCATCTATGAATGGCTTCAGTCGTACAGAACTCTACAGAGGGCCCTCAGAAGGTTAAAAGGGTGGCTCGTCAAGATTACAAAGGAATTGAAACTAAAACCATCTATTAATGTGCTTTTTGGTTGCTTCCTACAACAAACCACTGTATGTAACCTCATGTCAAAATACACCGTGTTTCTGAGTTTGTCATTTTGTTTCCCTCTTGATCCATTTCATAAGATATTTAAGTGGTCTTCAAGTGCTTTACGGTTTACAAATCACCAAAATAGCTTAAACTTTAGGTATTTATGTGTTTAATATAAGAAAATTTATGATGGCCAAAAGTCGATTTTCTATATTACGTTTGTTTTCACTGAAGAAGAAAAGGATCTATTATTGGCTCTAGCAACTTAATTATCTCTCTATTCATTCCAGAGATTAATTTGGGAATTTGTGACCCTTGTTCATTGATTACATGTCCTTTGGAAATAATTCATGTACTATGTACTTACAACTACACTTAAAAGAAAACCATTGGCATTTCCATATATGAGGAAAATACAATCTCTCACAGCTGATGCTCTGTGATTTGAACCCATGCACACTATTTTCCAAAGGGCATAGACATCTCTGCAGATAATTTCTTTCATGAAATAAAGTAAATTGGTCAATTTTCAAACTTCGAACTCAAGTGGATTTGCACCCAGTTGAAAGTATTTGTGTTTTCAAAATGTCTTGATCCTTTCTGTTGCTTTTTTTCAGTAGTAAAGCTGAAGTTCAAGACTGAAGCTTTCTCAGTGTTAAGGTCTACAAATCTGTTTCCCCCCTGCCCCCCAAATTTAAAGGAATCCATATAATTGTCATCCCTGCCTGATAACTATAAATAAATACGTGCTCTTGGGGTCCTCCTTTAGAGTTTACTATCAAAACCATCTAATGTTGGTGGATCAAGGCTGCAGATAATTACAAATATACAGTATTTAGTTAACAGAGTAGTCTGAAAGATCATTGCATGAGGCAATTTTACTTTGGATACAGTATTTTGCAATGCAGATAAAAATATTTGTCTTAGCTCGGGTTGCTATAATAAAAAACCGTAAACTGGGTGGCTTAAACAACAAACATTTATTTCTCACAGTTCTGGGGGCTGAAAGTCTGAGATCAGAGTGCCAGTATGGTCAGGTTCTGGCGAGGACCCTCTTCTGGGTTGCAGACTGTTGACTTCTCTTTGTATCCTCACATGGCGGAAAGACAGCGAGCTAGCTCTCTGGCCTCTTCTTATAAGGGCACTTGTCTCGTTCATAAGAGCTCCACCCTTATGACCTGATCACTTCCCAAAGGCCCCACGTCCTAATACCATCACATTGGGGGTTAGAATTTCAACATATGAACTTCAGGGGAAGAAACACTTAGTCCATAACAATATTTAAGCAGGTAAATTATCATCAAAAGTAAAGAGCATCACTTTGTATAAAGGCAGATCACTTTAATTTTTTTCCATTTGTAAGTAGACTATGTCCATCGATGGTAAAGATGTTTCTCACTACTTCCACATGGAACCCAGCAACAGGCCCAAGGGAAAAGAGTGAACAGCACCTAAGCAGCAACCACCTGTTGGGTGCCAACACTCGGTCTGCACAGAAGGGGTTGCGAGATGATACGGAAGCAATTAGTTGAGGAGTTAACTATGTTTTTATTTCACTAACTAGCTCTGGTACATTTTGATGTCATATCGACAGACCTTGAGCATTTTTCCCTCTATTTCTATACATACCAGCCTTCATAAGGGTAGAAGTGCCGTTCCTCTCAATTTTGTGATTGTGTATATATTTAACAATCACAATTACAGGAGAATGAGAGCCCCATGTCCTCTACTTGCTACCCTTCTCCCAATAGTATTTTATGCAGGAGCAGAAGGGAGAGACTGAAGTGCAAATGGAGACACAGAGAGGTAAGAAAGATGACTCAATGCATTATATGAATCCCATTTTTCCAATTCCTCTGTCATACATTGGTGACTCCTCTCTGATATAGGAAATCCCATGTCTTGGATAATTTACAAACACTCTTTTGATGAGACGTTTATGAGAAAATGTAGGCAGCCAAGCTGCTCCTTGGTAAGTTAGGCAGTCACATTTTGCAAAGAAGGGCTAGACTGTCTCTTTGAACACCTGACTATAGGTCACATGATTGTCTGTGGCCAGGGCATTTTTCAGACACTGCCAGAAGTACGGGTGAGCCTGCGGGTTTGTTGGCCACTCAAGGACAGAACTCCCACAGAGTCTCTTCCGGAGCTGGAGGAACTTGGACTTCTGAAGGGGCTTCTCAAGGAATATCAAGATAATTACGTCCACTTTTTCATCTATGAGCCTCTGATGGGACAAGTAAAATGCTATCTTAAAATTCTCAGTCTTTGCGTACTTGTCTGTCATCACAAACACTGTCTTTTTGCTAAGCTGTATGCTCTGGGAAAGGTTTTCCAGAACCGGCTGCCCTGGTAACCAGTCCCTTTCCTCGAGGCATAAATTAAAATGTTTCTCTCTTGGGTCTTCCAATTTGGCCACCAGCTCATCCAAAACCCACTCTGTAACCGCTGGGTCTTTAGTATCATACACAATAAAAGCATCATAGCAAGAATCTGGTGATATCAGACGTTGATACCCCTTTATTTTGGCCTTACAGAAATGGTAACTATACCACACATCCCAGAAATAGAGGTGGCTTGCTGTGGTAACCACCATCAGAAAGATAGCCGCTGATATGGAAAGTGAGAACAGAACGAAGTTAGTCAGATCTAACTCACAGGTATACAGATCCAGAGATACCACACTCTGGCCCTTGTGTGCTCCTGGCCCTGTACAAGTCACATCTGTGGCCAAGTAGGGAATAGTCACCTCTGTATGGTTAACCCACCAGACAAACCACACAGCATCACAGGTGCACAGAAACCTATTATGATGCAAAAGCAACATCTCCAGATTATTGAGAACGTTTTCTGGAAAGCTAGTCTTTTGGATAATCTGGATTTTATTTGAGCTGAGGTCCAGATGTCGTAACTGGAAAGCATCTTGTAGAAAATACTTTGTCAGACGCCTGATTTGATTATTATTAAGAATTAGTTTCTTGAGGCTGCTGGAACAGTTGGATAATCTCTCAGGGACAGTCTTCAGCTGGTTGTAGCTGAGGTCCAAAGTTTCTAGATTCTTCAGGTACTGGAGTTTTCTCCAATTGAAAGACTTGAGCCTATTTTTGACTAAGTAGAGAGTCTTGAGATTTGGCGGCATACCATCAAAAACTCCAGGAGGCAAGAAACTCAGGGAATTTTCAGAGATGTCTAATTCCTTTAAGTTCCGCAGATTCTTGAAGAATTTTAAGTATCTGTTATCACCATCTCTCCATAAAACATCCAAATGATTTCCTCTGAATTCTAGAGTTCTAAGAGATTCGCTCTCCATTATCCTGCTGGTGGAGGTAGAGATGTCATTGTTGTTCATCATCAGTTTCTTCAGAAACTTTAGGTTCTTGGTAAAGTTAAGCATGTGAGTAATTCCTTCTGATTGAAAATAATGGCTGTTACTACTTATATCTAGAACTTCCAGGTTGTGTAGCTCCTCAAACGCCGTTGAGTAGAGCAAATCAAGCCGGTTGTTAGAGAAGTCCAAATATTTCAACTCCACTAAAGGCTGAAATTCACTGCCATTAAGAGTTTGGCTAATGCTATTTCCTGACAAGTTGAGGCATTTGAGGAAAGAAAGATGCTGAAAATCAGAGGATTTGATAAAAAATATACTATTTCTACTTAGGTCCAAGGTCTGTCCATACATGTAACAACCTTCATTAAAAGGCAAGAAAGAAGAAGTCTCTTTGTTTTTGAACCTGCAACTCCTTGCATACTCATCATATCTGAAATAATGTAATGTGTCAAGGACCTGGGGCCCATGACTTTCTACAGAAGTTCTGATGTTAGAGCAGAAGCCAACTTCACTTGACTCTCCTGAAGGTGATATTTTATTCACTGAAAGATCTATGACTTTCAGTGTTTTAAATTGTTTAAATATGCTGAGGTCAGCAATTTTTATGAAGTTAGTGCCAAGATCAAGAATTTCAAGATTGGAAAGATTACGTAATGGGGAGAGGTTACGGTCGTTCAGCTCCTTAAAGACGTATCCTTTGATCCGCAAAACTTTCAGGTTTTTCAGTGAAGAAAATGCGTCTGATAGATTCATAGATGTATGATAGACCTGAAGTTCATAATTGAAAGACAGATCCAGCTGGACAAGGTTGTGAAGAAGATGCAAAAATTTGGCATCCCCAATTTCTTTGGCCAAGAAGTTTTGGGAAAGATCTAGTTCCTTAAGTTTGTTAATGTTTTTAAACCATCTTTGGGGCACATACTGAAGAGAGTTACTATGTAGACGTAAAACTTGTAATTCTGTCAATGCATCAAAAGCATTTACATGGATCTGTAGGGGAGAATTATTTTCACAGGGTGTACAAGGATATGGCACATTATAACAACGAGGACAATTTCCACTTAGGTCAAGAATTTGCAGCTGATTGAGGTTATTAAAATCATCTTCTTGGATTTTTGCAATGATGTTGTTGTAAAGATAGAGTTCTGTTAAACTGGATGGCAAAATAGTGGGGACAGCTGTGATATTGTTATCTTTTAGGGAGAGCAATTTTAAATTTTTTAGATTTAGAAAAGCATCTTTTTCGATGAAAAATGAAACATTACAAGGATTGCGATAATAACAGTTTTGGCCCAGGTAGAGCATTTCTATGTTGGCCAGTTCTGTTAGATTCTCTTTCATGATCCAAAAGATGTTGTTGGCCTCAAGGCTCAGCAGCTGTAAGCTGGGAGGAAGATCCTGAGGTATTTCTAGAAGCTGGTTTCCATCCAGGTAAAGGGCTTTTAAATAAATGAGTCTACTAAAGCTTCTAGGTTTAATCTGCAGCCTCCTGGTGCACACGTTGTCTTTTGGCCCCAGTCGAACAGGTATACAGTTGCATCTGAAATCGATCTCTACCAGATGGTCCAGCCGGTGAAAGGAGGCTGGAGAGATGCCTGGTATGTGGTTAATGGTGAGGGTGAGGTTGGTGGCGTTGGCGGGAATACCTCCAGGAATTTCCGTCAAATGCTTGTCTGTGCAGTCCACGATCACATGGCCCTTTGGGGCATCCAAAAAGACATCACAGGGCAGAGTTTTAGGAAACCATCTAGCCCCAAGGAGTCTGGAAATTAGGATTATGTTAAAAAGGATAAGAAATTCTCTCTTCAAGGTCCACATAGGAAACACCTGAAAGTATAAGAACAAATTACCAGTCCAAAATGTATCGAGAATCAGAATTGCAAATTCCCATTTGCTGCCTCTCTTTTGCTACATTTTAAAATAAACAATTCAAGTCTTGTTCTCAACTGTCTAAACAGCAACCCCCACCCCATCACTGTATTAGTCAGTTACTGAGGCTCCTAATAATTTAGTTACATATTTAGTTTTTAGCATCTTTGCTTCTCAGTTACTTGGCTTTTAAGGTGGTAGAAGCAGCATTTTCCTATTTACCGTTATTTAGAATGCCACAATGGAAGAGCCATCAATTAGCTACCAATGCCTGAAATTTTGGGGGGTGAAGGAAAGTTAAAATGCAAATACATCTGGGAAGAAAAACACATTAAGACTTTAGTGCAATTAATGTTTGCTTGCTAAGCCTGCTCTGGTACACGTTACAGGAGTCTTTCACAATATTCGAGCCTCTTAATATTCTAAGTAGAGAAACACAGGAAATCCATTATCACCATTTTACAGATTAAGACGTAGCGATATTAGCTGATTTGCCCAAGATCACCCAACTGCTGCCATTTTGGCACTGCCATCCCATAAGCTGGCTTTCCTCTTGGGTTGTTTTTGGACATCATCTCCAAGATGATTTGTGGGTAAACATTTTCCCTACACACTGCGTTTACATTACATAAATTTGGAAAGGAGACAGTAGAGAGTCAGGGCACTGCCAAGGTGACCCCAAATTGATCAAACAGCCTACTTATGGGAGTGAAAGGAGGGAGGAGCTGCTAATAATTATGTCAAGACTATAGGCGTAAACCAAGACTCTCTCAAGCAAACTGGGACATATGGGAACCTACCCTTAATGGTGATTCTTGAGCATGAGAGACACTTGGACCTTCAGGTGGAAGACCTTAAAAGGGAATAGGGGACGTACTGTAGAGCTTTATTAATCACTATATTAACTTGAACTTGCCCTTCCTTAGAGGGTAGTTTAACCATGGACTTGTTCTCAAGTTTCAGGATTTCTATCAACATTTTACTCCAGAACACTGGTTTTAGTTTCACTGGTGCTTATCCATGGAATGATCCAGCCTGTGTCTCTACAACAGGCTTCTTTCTCAACTAGTGCTTTTGTTCTCCCAATTGACTGAAGCATCGAATCATTTTGATAAATCTAATAGACCAAATGCATATTTCTCTTAATTCATTTAACAGGAGGTAAATAAGCAAAATTTCCGTAAGCTTTCTTTTTCTCTGATGCAAGATGGTTCAGAAGGATTTCAAAGAGCTTTGTCAGACATCTTTACCTAAAGTTTGTTGGAGTTAGCAGTACAACATTGTCTTTTTTTTTTCTCTTTCACCACCCTGTCTCCTTCTCACCATTATCAAGACCATTCGCTGAGTCCAGCTGACCTCCTTCATTGCCCCTCATGACCTCTTTCTTGCTTTGCCATTTTAGCTGACACAGTCTCAGTCAAGATTATTCCACACTTGGTCTGCTCCAAGGCCTCATCCTTGCCCCAGACTCTCGCTCTTCTAATCCACCCTATCCATCAGTCTTCCCAAACGTTAATTAGATTATATTGCTCTGAAATCTTTAAAATGGTTTTCTTTTTCTCTTTTCCAGACGGAGCCCTAACTTTCTATCATAACATCCAAAGTCTTCCATAATTGGTCCCCTATATACTTGTCTAGGCTTACCTGATACAACTCCCCTACTGGCTTCTCTAATCACTAAACCCAAGCCCAGCGTGCAGTTTCCTGACCTGCAAGTCCCCCCACTGGAGTACTCTTCCCTACCATTTCCACCCACCAGAATTTGAGTTACCCTCTAAGGATATACTTCTCAATCTGGAGCACTCAGATCCCTGGGAAGATATGGCAATATGCCAGGGAGTATGGGAAGCCCTTAGATAAATACAGCATATGTTCCTTGAGCATCAATCTTACTCAAAGATTTAGGAAAAATGTTCACCACCTAGGCAGGAGGGGTTAAGTCAAGATGGGGGGAAGGGCTTTAGAAGAGAGAAAGGAGAGATGTAGAGTGATTTCTTTGTATGGTCTCTGATAATAGGACCCCAGACCCTGGACCTCATCCCCAGATATGCTTCTAGCTGTCATGATGGGCTCATGAATGCCACTATCAAAAGGAAATAATAAAGCTGCTAACAGTGATGTTCTTAGTGGACCAGAGAGGTGAGTTACATTCCAGAGGGGGCCAAAATGGACAAAGGACAAATCATGAACCAGGTGCCCTCTTCCAAGCCCATTCCCATTAACCTAGATGAGATCTGGGAAGAAGTGGGGGGATTCCTAAATTAACAGAGTTAAAAACATGAAGTGATTGAGATAGCAATCATCAAACTGCGTTTTCAAGGATATGCCCAGTTTAAGTATTTTTGTGATCAGAGGAAATGGAGACTCTAAGATGAAGGAAGTTTAGTTATAGAAAAAAATAACAGTGATGTGCAGGTAAATGTTTAACAATTGCCTCCCCTCTGCCCCTGCCCATCAAATCTCTGATTTAAGTTTTGATTTGTAGCATTTGCCAATTCCTATAGTGTAAATGGCCCTCCCTGGCCAATTTTGAGCTGCCAGTGTGATGTCACTGAATGCAGAATTGGGGAGAGATGTGCAGAATTGCTCTGGCGAGCCTGTATGTGCTGGGTCCAGCAAACCACTAACCTTAACACATCTGAGACAATGACTGTGAAACTTTTAGCCTCTGCACATGGACATATTATAAATTAGAATTAAAAATTAATCAGAAAGTCTTTTTTCTCCCTTGTTTCTAAACTTTTTCTTGCACCTGTCCTCTTTTCTCCTTGTCTACTCCCCCCTCCCTTCTCCAATAGCTGTTAGGTCTCACCTGGAAGACTGCACTAGACTTCAAACTGGTCTCCCTTCTCCTCTACAATTCATTCATCAAACAGCATCAGAGCATTCTTTATAAATATGGATCAGATCACCCACAAGGACGTCCGATTACACTTTGAATGAAATCCAGTCTTTACCATGGCCTATATCATGCATGTTTTGCTCCAGCCTACCTCTCTGACCTTGAACCATCGTTCCCCTTCTTTGACCACACATCAGACATCTGGCCTGTTTTCTGTTCTGCATTTGAGCCAATCTTGGCACTTGCTGTTCCCTCTTCCTGAAATTATCATTTTCTTCTTCTTCCCACAGCCAGGTCATTCTCATCCTTTAGTTGTCTGCTTAAGTGACACATCCTCAGAGAGGCCTTCTATGACCAACTTATCTAAATACCCTCCCATATAATAATAGTGATAATGACAGTCACAGTAGTTAAATTAGGGAGTACTTACCATATGCCAGGCATCATTTTCAGTGCTTTACATATATTGACTCATTTAATCTTCATAACAACAGCATGAGGGGGGCACTACAGGTCCTCAATCCCTGTCCGAAACCTTTGGGACTAGATGTGTTTTGGAATTCAGAATTTTTCAGATTTTAAAAGGTAATATGATGTGTGTACCCCATATAGAAGGAGATGCATGTACCCCATATTATGTAATACTCCTACTGGGGCCTGGGGCAGCATCCCGTAATTAAACACACAGATTTGGATTTGTACAGTGAAGCATAGGATTGTCCACTCTAAGTAGGATTAAAAAAAAAACAAAAAAGGAAGAGGTCAGCCCAGTGGCATAGTGGTTAAGTTCGCGTGCTCCGCTTCAACAGCCCGGGGTTCGTGGGTGCAGATCCTGGGCGTGGACCTGTGCACTGCTCATCAAGCCATGCTGTGGCGGCATCCCACATACAAAATAAAGGAAGATGGGCACAGATGTTAGCTCAGGGACAATCTTGCTCAAGCAAAAAGAGGAAGATTAGCAACAGATGTTAGCTCAGGGACAATCTTCCTCACCAGAAAAAAAAAAAAAAACGGAAGAACTAGCTCATTCAGTTTAGGTCAAGATTCGCCTCCAAATGAGTTCACATCATGTCATGCTTGCCATCAACTGAATTAGAACACAACTTTAAGTTTTCGGATTTTGGAATTGCAGACCTAGAATCTATTATTATGTCCATTTTATAGGTGAGTTAACTGAGGCACAGAGAGATGTATGTACTCTGTATTAGACTATCCTGTTTTATTTCCTTCATAACCCTTAGCACAATAAGAAATTATCTTGCTGATAATTTATATGCTTATGATTTATTTATTTATTTATTTATTTTTTTTAAAGATTTTATTTATTTTATTTTTTCCCCCCAAAGCCCCAGTGGATAGTTGTGTGTCGTAGCTGTGCATCCTTCTAGTTGCTGTATGTGGGACTCGGCCTCAGGATGAACGGAGAAGTGGTGCCTCGATGCGCACCCGGGATCCGAACCCGGGCCACCAGCATCGCAGCGCGCGCACTTAACCACCAAGCCACAGGGCCGGCCCAATGCTTATGATTTAAATGCTTATTTGTTTATTGTCTATTCTGCATGAGAATGTAAGCTCCAAGAGAGCAGGGCTTTGTGTGTCCTCATGTAAAACAATGCCTGGCACTTAATTGGTGTTCCATTATGTTTGCTAAATATATGAATGAAAGAAAGAATGCATGGATGAATGAAGTAAAGCAAAATACTTAAAAGAAATTTCTCTTTGGAGTAGGTTCCTTCAGGCTATACTCCTAGACTCCCCAGGGGTCACATTCTGTCTCTTCTATTTGCCCAAGGATTCCTTGGGGGGTGGGGGGGATGTTTAAGAAGCTCTGCTTTTATAGGGCCCGGTTCAAATTCATCTTCCTCAAGAAGCTTTCTGGGATCAACCCAGACAGAAGTAACACTCCCTCCTCTCATCTCCTACTACACTGGTTACACATGAGCTTGTGAAAAGAATTCTGGATTGAGGGTTGGAAGAACTGGGTCCTAGTTCTGGCTCAGTAGTTCACTACCCATGTACCCTTCTGAGGCAGGCACTGTGCTCAGGAGAAGACCCCCCTATAAGAGAATGACGGACATGGAAACAACAATACATCAAAGACACAGACAACCCTTCT